ATTAAATGTAATTTTCTGGTAATTAAATTTATTTTTTTGGTAATTAAATGTAATTTTTTGCTATTTATAGCTTAAATTATAGTTACTGTTAATTACAGTTTAAATATAATTATTGTTAATTATATTACTGTTAATAATTAATATTCATTGTTTTTCATTATTATTCAGAATTGTTTTGCAATAAAATACGATTAACTTAATTTTCTAATTATTTTTAGTATTTTACTTAAGTTTTAGGTTTTTCAGAATTTTTGGTATTTTTCATTATTATTCAGTAATTTTTGAATATGAGTAGTTTTCAATAGTTTTCAGTATTTTCAGCATTTACTCTTGCATATTAGTCACTACAAAATTAATTTTCATTTGCTTCTAGTAAAAATAAATTAAATAAATAAATAAATGCCATAGTTAATAAAAGTACTATTAATTTTCAATATTTTTCAAAATTTTCTGGCTTGGGTATTTTTAATAAATTTTGTTATGTTTAATTAACATTCATTAATTTATTAACATTAAATTTTATTTTGAATATTATTTAAATTATATTTGAAACTATATGTAATATAATTAAAATTTTAAGCAGTAATTGAAAGTAATTACACTTAAATGATTTATTTAAATGTAATTTAATCTATACAAAGTAGAAACTTACATTTAATGAACAGAAATTATCGATGAAAATAACAAAAAATGGATTAACATGATTTCTAATAAATATGATAAATTTCTAAAAATTAAAAAATATAATCATTAAAATTACTTTCTAAGAGAAGCTATTTATCTATTTTTTAAAATTTTTGCATTTTTCCTATTTTCTTTTTTTTTAATATAAAAAGATAATCATTGCTTATCATTATTAGATTAATAAAGCTACGCACTATTAGAGAGAGAGACATTTGGGTTTTTCAATGCCTCTTATTTTAATGCATGTTATTAATACATTTCAAAAAGACATTTAAGAGAGAGAGAGAGAGAGAGAGGGAGATGTAACCGTATTTTATAATATAGTACTTTAATATAATTACAACATTTTTTAATAATTAACAGTATTAATCATATTTATTAATTAACAATATTTTTAAATAATTATCAGTATTTATTCAAAAACAGTATTAAATAATGTATTTATTAATTAATATGATGTAAATTAGAATTTACTAAAAAAGTATTAACAAGTACAGTATTTATTAATTAATAGTAATTAAATAATTACAATATTTTATTCATTAACATTATTAACTGTACTTTTAATTCATATAGTATTTTTAATAATTATGGTATTATTAATTAATTAAAAGTATTTATTGAAATACTGAATTTATTAATTAACAGTATTTTTAATTAATATAGTATTTTTAATAATTACAATATTTTAATTGATTAACACTATTTATTATAAATAATGTATTTTTAATTATTAAAGTATTAATAATTATCTGTATTTTTAAGTATTTTCAGTAATTCCAGTATTTACTAATTAAGGATGTTTATTAAAATATTGTACTTATTAAAAAATATTAATATTTTTTATTAATTCATTAGTTAACAATTTTTTTTAATTGTTAATTAATTATGTTATAATTTAAATTGTATTTTAAATATTATACTTGAAACTGTAAGTAATATAATTAAATATTGTACTATAATTAAAAGTAATTATATTTAAATTATTTATTTAACTATAATTTAAGCTATAAATAGCAGAAAGTTACATTTAATGAACAGAAATTAGCCAAGAAAATAACCAAAAATAAAGTACCAATAATTTTGTCATAATTACCAAAAATTACCAAAAAAGGATTAACATGGTTTCCATAAATTACCAAAAAATAAAAAAATGTAATCATTAAAATTACTTTTGAAAATATGTACTTATTATCAATAATCTTCAAGAAGTAAATGTAATTAGTTCATAGTATTTTTAAAATACATTTCTTTTTTTCGTGTAAATTATAAATTATATAATTTAAACATTAGTTCATAGTGTTACAATGAAAAAAAAAAATATTTACTATTATGTATTTCCATTTTTTCACTTTCACTCAATAAAATCTGTACATTGCATGAGTCCCGCTATTATATATATATATATATATATATATAAAAGCTCCGAACCCATTATACAACCTAAAATTAAAACTGTTGGTATAACAGGAACACCCTCAAGAAGTCAAGCCTCAACTCTCCCCATTGTATTGGCTTAATTGGAAATGACAGTGTCACTCCCCGCTGTACTGATCAAAACAGTGTTCTGAGTTCTGAAATCGGACTAAGACAGTCAAACTGATGAAACATTGACCAGATTAATTTTCTGGATTTTTTTTAATGGGCTAGACTGGACACTTGAACCAGTAGAAGGGTGACTGACTGAAACCAAGCTTTAGAGGTTTACGGTTTTTAGGCACGTATATTAGACCCAAAATGAGGCAATGGAAATGGTATGGGCGTGTTACAACTACAAAAGCATTTTCCATCTGAAACAAAACACATATCGCCAACAGAAAAAGTAGAGTTCACGGTTGACACATACATTTCAAAGAAGCCACGTCCCTCACTCCCACATCACGCGAGTCCACAAAAGGGCGCGCGTGTATCTTGACGTCGTCCACTTTGCCTTCTTCTCAAGTCCAAATTTCAGACATCTCTATACATGCACATGTAACATTTACTTTACTTTAAGCTACAAATTCACATGGAATGTCCCTCATTTCTCATTTATATATTTCACTTTAACCAACTTTTTTATTTAATATCAAACATTAATTTTCCATTTCATAAATTAATTAAGAAAATTTCGCGTTTTCTTTTTTTTTTTCCTAATCCGGTCAAGCTACCACACGTGAAATTCAAATTTGATATTAACAAAACTAGTTATTACATCAGCTGAAAGTTATATTACCACCTAATTACATTCAATCTCAATCATCAGCACCAATTAAGCCACCAAAATCTGGACCAAGTTCAACGCCATGGCTTTTTCAGTATTTAGTGTTCACACACCAATCTTCTGTAGCACATGGAGATTTCCCTCATTGTCTTACAAATTTGAGCATATAATGACATTTTCCTACCTTATGCGTAAAGCAGGTGCTTCTCTTGAGCCTCTTAAAAACTAACACGCATAGAAAGAGAGAAAACCGAGAGAATTGAAATGTTGGGGTGATATGTGATGATGCGCAATCCGGTCACTCCTAGCTGGAAGTGATGAGGTTTTTAGTTGGCGACGGGCAAGAGATACCTGCAAGAAGGATGAAGGGATCCGGGATTGAATATTCGGCGGGGACTCTCCGATACTTAAATTAGAACTCGGTAGCGAGCTGAAAGAGAATAAACTTGCAAGAATATGAGAAAGCTAGAGAGTGGTGAATATGCGATACCTTGGTCCCTGGGGAGTTGAAGTGTCTATATACCGATGCTCTGACAAGTTCGGCTGAGTCAGCCATGTATCCCTGCTGTGGCGGGATATGCTTGTCAGGTAGCATCTCGAGGTGGCTGACCGTTATTGTCAGGACTGAAGGCAGGCGAGCTACAATGATAATTGCTTGGTACGGTCCCGCCAATCAAGAGACAACCCGCAAGTCACGATGCCACCTGTCGAGAGACGTGGGTATAGCCTTTTGAATCTGCAGGTGCTGCGCCGCCAGACAAAGGACATGGGAGCAATGCGGCAGGTATGGTTGTCAGGCAGGAAGCTTCTCGCGGGACACCGGACTACTCGATAACGAGCAGCCTTGTTGCGAGCTACTTGTGATAAACTGTTGGTGACGTGCCGAGGTGGTTTTGCCTGAGGTGAGTTGTCTCCGAGGTGGCTCACTTGCCTGGGTCTAGACTATCGTGAACTTGATCCTTTTAATTCGCGAACTAGGATGAACTCGTCCTGAAGTACCTTTAGCTCGGAACATTATTGTACCCGAGCTCATTCCATAGCGAGCTGATACTTGATGAGTTGCCATCTACATTGTCATGAGTTTCCAGACTACATGATGGCGAGCTGCCTAGTGGCGAGCTGCCTGTGTGTTGCATGGTAGCGAGCTGCCTGTGAGTGCTGCATGATGGCGAGCTGCCTATGGCAAGGTCGAGCTGTCTAGCTGTCAAGGGGCTGCACTTATTTGGCATGAGGTGCCAGGTGTCATAATGTCGTTGGAGGGCCAAATCTGCCCTTATCAATATGGTTTGAACTCTAAGGGTCTATTCGGTTTATAGTTAAAATTAGAATCAAAATCCCTCAGAATCGAAACGGTTTATTCTCATAATCTGTTTGATTTAGATAGGAATTGATATAAATTTGAATAGAATTTCATTCCCAATAGAGAGGGAGGAAAAGATCATTCTCTTAAATGGATGAATGCCATTCCACCAATAATCGGAATGAAATTTGGATTCTGTCCAACCAAAAATTGGAATTGAAATGGCCCATCCTGGTTCCAATTCCAAACCCCTCCTTATTGGCCTATTCCCGTGAACCAAACTTGCCCCGACTTCATTCTGTGTTTCTATTTCAATTATTTAATAGGAGGGAAAAAGAGAATACGACGTATAGTACTTGGAGCCTAGCGTCACACCAAATAATAATTTGTCTATGCTAGGTGCGTTACCTATCAAAGTGTCAATAGTCAAAGACATGTTCCATACTTCCATTCCATTAATGATCTACTGGTCCATGGCACAGCGCGCATTATAGACTTGGCTAATGGTAATTGAAACCCACAGAGGTAAGAGGCCCATTCTGGTTAACTCAACGGTCCACACTGAACCAAACAGTCCAATTATTGAAGCGTGATGAACCGCTGGAGCTGGTATTTCCGTTTCCTTCATCAGAGTGAAACCACGTCGTTAATACTTCGTAAACAGTTTCCTTTTTTATGGAAAGAAAAAGAAAGGAATGGAGATTAATTGGTCCAATTTTTAATTAGCAAGTTTAATATCATATATATTGCGTAACATTCCAATTTTAACCTGATATATATCTCGTCCTCAAAACGTGTAGAGAATACGCAGAGTCCTCAACTGATATTATCTTCTTCTGACCAAATTTCTAGCTTCCAACCCAAAAGACCAGCAAAGAGTTTAAGTCATTCACAGGTTCCTTTCCCCTCTGGCAAGTAGTTTTGATCTTCTTCCCCTTTTTCTCGTTGATTAGGTCAAATCTCAACCTCTTTGTTCTAGATTTTCCCAGTGAGCTTCATATTCTTCCCTTTCCAAATTTTGCAATGACTTTCAAGGACGGTTATTCAGTTCTTGCTTCAACCACAAGTGGCTGAGAGGTGGATTGAATTGATTGGAAGCCCAAAGATGTTTATTTCCGGTACCCACTTCGATTTGGTGAACAAAAGATCTGTCAATGAGTTTTTGTTCACCAAAATATTTCTTTTTGTTAGTTCTTTCTGGTTTTCTGCCACCGGCTACATGTTTTACCTGATCGGTCTCTTAGGTATATACGTCTTCAGGTAAGCAGAATGGGAAGACTGATAATTAGTGGGATTGTTTAGTTTTCTCATTCATGAATTGAAACTATATATCATGGATTCTTTAAACCTGATTCGTTTTCTTCCTGCAGATTAAAAAGAGGTAACAGTTCCGGGGGCGACCATACTAACAGCAACGCCGTTGACGATGCAAATGGAGACACTGTTACCCCCGAGGTGGATTATCCAAGTGCTTCAGGTTGTTTCAAGCCGGAAAGTGCACCTGAAATTACCAACTTTGAGAATTCCGATCACGATCAATCTGCCAAGAAAGAGGAATCAAGATTCTGTTTCAAGTTCCAATTCCAGACCTACGAAGAAACTCGAGGAGAATCCGGAGATTCCATTAGCCCCAAAGAAGCGCCCATGGTGAGCACGAGTAAGTATCAAGTTTCTTCCAGGAAAGATTTATATGGTTTTGTTGAAGAACCAGAGGTGGTGAGCTTCACCATCAAAGAATTATATGCCGATTCAAATTATGGTTCTTTCAGCAATAGAGAGATAATTCACGGCGGATTCTTGTCGGAGAAGGATTTCCAACAATTGAATTCAAATACAGAAGCTGTTCGTGAACCATCAGTAGAGAATTACAGTCCAGTTGATCCCAGTAAAGAAGAAAAACCAGGGAAAACAGAACCTAGGTCATTTACTAATGATCCGCTAACTGAGAAGGACGGAGGTAGTTCAGAAATTAATTTTCCCCGTAAGGACGACGTCTCTCGTGAACTCCAGTTTTTGTCTGAAAAAGATTTCAAGGCTTCAAATTTAGAATCAGAATCTGCTAGTTTAAGCGATGTGTTTTCTCCTAAGAATCATACAATTGATTCCAATAGTGGTGATTTTTTGTTCGAGAGAGACTTTGGAGGAGGATCAGACACTGTAAATGAGTTGTATTTTGATGGAGAAAAGGTAGAATTAAGGGAAGAAACACAAAATTGCGAAGCGGCCCATCCGCAGAATACAAACTACTTGTTGGACAATGAAACCATCGAGATCAGTGAGGGCCCTTCCTCTGTTTGGGAACCTATCAAACACAGAGTACACTCTATGGATGATGACATAGAATTAATGGAAGACGATCAAACTTCTGAAGAATCCAATTTGCCGAGCCCAAGCACTTCAGCGGATACAGAAGTTCTGTCCGACAATGATTTTGAGGAAGAAGAAGAAGAAGACAATCCAGGACCGGATGTCTTAGGCAACTTCAAGGAGAGGGAAGCAGTTGATGGTTTAGAAATATATGGACAACCCAATATACAGAATTCATCCGTATCGGAAACAGATGATGCAGACGAATTGGAAATTCTGTGGGAACATGAGGAATTGATAGAACAGTTGAGGATGGAGTTGAGAAAGGTGAAAGGCGGTGGACTTCCAACCATCTTAGAGGAAGATGAGTCTCCCAAGATAATGGATGATCTGAAGCCGTGGAAGATTGATGAGAAGTTCCAACACGAGGATAGAATGGAGGAGCTACAGAGGTTCTACAAGAGTTACAGTGAACGAATGCGAAAGTTGGACATCTTGAATTATCAGAAGATGTATGCAATTGGTAAGTCCAAATTACAACACTCCTTTACATTTATTTCCTAAGAAATAATTCCTGCTGTTGCACTCTTCAAATCATATCTGCTGATGCGATTACAGAGGCAGCACTTTACGCCCTTGCGAGATTGTGTGAACTCTAGACTAAACCGCCATTACTGCGGAATAGTTGAATAGTTGCATGGTGCAACTTCTTTTTGGGCCCACTTGGCCCATAAAAGACGGCCCTAGATTTGTCTAACATGTTCATAGAATATGAGATGGTCGGTGATTCGTCTTCCTAATGGCCCCACTTTCTTTTTATCATGGACTTGATCAAAAGTCAATTCAGGTATTCGGGTTTTCTTGTTCTTTTCAAAGTTTTGATTGGGTAGGAGAAAGCTAACAAGTGGGCCGAAAAGCCGTGGCAAATACAAATATGCTACAATACTTCTTTCGTTTTTTATTCCTGATGAGTGATGAGTAGGCAATTTTTCTTTTACTCAATTTATTTTCTATATAGGTTTGAGTATGACTATACACTCTTCTAATACTTGGAAAGTTTTGTGTCATTATTTTTATTAGGCATATATGTATACAACACAACAAGTATAGAAATGCAGTTGTTTGAGTTTTGGCTGTGGTTCATAAATTAATACTTGAGCATAACACAATATTCTGATATTAGGACCATTAAAGCCAGTATATAGAACCCTTTTTCAAGGCTAAAAACTGCTAGTTATAGATACGCATTATTAAAAATATATAGAATTGATAATATTTATATCTATTTTATGTAATATATTAATAGTACTTTATAGTATATAAGAGAGTTGAGTGGAACTTTAACTAAGCAGAGCCCACCAAAATTTAGCTCATTTACATCCCTATTTAGGAACTGTAACGTTAAAGCTATTTTTTATTTATTTCTATTTGTCAGTATGTTTCCTAATGTCATCAATCAATTTATCAAATGGTTGAGGACTTGAACCACATCTATTCACGTTGACGCTTTACGTAATCCTACAATATTCAATATTGAGAGGGATCTTTTTCAAGTGGACTTTTTACTTATGGTGGGTTGCCCACCATGAGTTGCTGATGATTTTTTTTTTTTTTTTTTGTCTAATAAGCACTAATTGTTTCTTTAACCTTTATAGATGTCCCAAAATGTATCGCATATAGTAAAATTAGGTAAAGTTCTATTACCTAAAAACAAAAGAACAAAGAGGCCCACATTCATTGTACTTCTCATTTAAAAATTATGCTCACTAAGTAATATTAGATTAAAGAAAACATTGTTAAGATGAATAATTTTTGCCTTAACGATATAAAGACAAAGAGGAGAAAAGCTACATAAGTTACAAACCTATTATAGACCAATCAAGAATGATTTTTGAAGCTTTTCTCGTCCCAAATCAAAGGCCAAATGGTAACATAACATCCCATTACTCGTGCATATATTATATACACACACACAAAAGCCCCTGTTTACAGTTTACTCTTTGTCCTCCTGTGATTTAATAAATATAAAGGTTCCGTCACCAGGTAGCCCATGATGCCAGCACCTTTCATGATTAAATTATGCATTTTCTTAGAGGCTAACAAGTGTTGGAAGTTGGAACTAAGGAAACATGGATGAGAATAACTCTCTAGCTTTCTCAATTCTCATTTACCTAGTTATAGCAATATTTACTTAATTAAGCATGCAAATTCGTATGAATATATAAAACTTTGTTTTTATTTTTTTATTTTTCAAGTTGATTTGGATTTCCTAAATCCTCGTATATTTTAGGTTTTCTCCAGCTGAAGGACTCACATCAATCAATTTCAAACCGAAAATCAACTACTCCAGCAATCATGTCCCTTCTCTGTCATAATTTCAGACTATTCAAACGTGGGAGAGTTGAAGCTGACCCTGCGATGAAGTTTGCTGGAGAGTTGCAGTGCGATTTGGAAATGGTGTATGTGGGACAGACATGTCTGTCCTGGGAGCTCCTCTACTGGCAATACAAGAAGGCCCAGGAGCTGCAGGAAACTGACCAAGATGGTATCCGGCGATACAACCATGTTGGTGGAGAATTTCAACAGTTTCAAGTCATCATCCAAAGATTCCTGGAGAACGAGCCTTTTGAAGGACCTAGGGTTCAAAACTACGTTAAGAATCGATGCGTCCTTCGCAACCTTCTTCAAGTTCCAGTCATAAAAGGTAATGGAGATGGAGACTAAGTAATATATAATGCACCAAGATTTTGATTTTATTGGGTGAATTGGTTGCTTGACTCTCTTCTCTTAAAAAAATGGAATACTATTAATCCTCTGTTTGCATTGTAAGCAGAGGATACTAAGTTTATTTTAGCGGCAATTGATAACATGAAGGTTTATTGCACTGCAGAGGATGTGAAGAACAAAATGAAAGGAAAAGGTAGAAGAGGAGAAGACGACGTGATCACAATATCAATGTTAACAAAGACCATTCAGAAGTCGATGCAGATTCTTTGGGAATTTATTCGGGCCGATAAGGGTGAAGCTAATGTGATTCTGAAGGGCCTCCTTGGAACCCAAGCTGGACTTCAAAACTCTGCAGACTCTGCACTTTTGATGGATGTACAGACAAATCTTCAAAAGGTTGGCTACTTGGCTTTCTAATTAATTTCATTTTCTTATATAATAGTTGTTATTATTTTTAGTTTGTATTTGTATGTTTGTGAAAGGGATCGTTTTAACTATATCATTGTCATTTGCTTTGGTTTCCTGCTCTAATACAGAAGGAGAAAAAGCTCAAAGACCTTTTGAGAACTGGAAACTGCATTGTGAAGAGGTTGCAGAAGCACCATCAAGAAAGCAGATTTGATGAAGTTATGTTCTGCTCTCAAGTTGACTTGAAGTTAGTGTCTAGAGTTCTAAACATGTCCAGAATAACAAGTGAACAACTAGAATGGTGTCATAAGAAATTAAACAAGATCAATTTTGTACACAGGAAGATTCGTAGGGAACCTTCAATTTTGTTGTTTCCATGTTGAATTTATTTACCTATCCCTACTGTAACATATCTTTTATCTGCGGTCTGCAGATCCATATATACAGTTACACAGAGAGAAGAAATATACAAAATACTATATTTTGAATGAACAATTGCCCCTCTGCTATGTACAATGTTTACTAGAGAGAGAGAGAGAGATCCATTTTCAACTAAGTGTGTAAGAAAGGACGGAGTGCAACTTTGGGTCATGCTAGCTGCCCAAAACTAGTCTAAACTGATGTGAAATACGCCTTAATGGGCTGAGTATGATATGAGGTCCCGGTCACTAATTTAGGTTAGCCCATGAAGTTGAGTTTTGGCTGGGTTTGGACAGAATCAGTCAGGTCTGGCGGCTCTGCCCCAACACAGTGTTCATACTTCATAATCATAGAAAACAAACAACATATATTGGCTTGCTTCCCCCGTGTTGACCATTCGGATTTTTGTTTTTTCATTTTTCGTTTATCATTCAGATTATGCACACATAATCAATTTCACTAGTCACTAGTTTCTAATATCTGTAATGAGTGCATCGGAAAAGAATTTCAGTTCCAGTTTACGGCCAATCAATCAATTTGATCATTCTGGCCCAGCCAAAATCAAACCAACCTGCTAAATGCAAGCTGGTCTATGTTTTTCTCCATTATCATTCAAATTATGCAAGATTTGCACATGGAGGACCTTGTTTAGTATTCATTAAAACTTTTTATTGAAGATACAAAGGAGTATGATGTAGAATGTAAAATATTGATGAAGGGTATTTTGGCAGCATCCTATTGTTTGGATTACTTCTAGGTGGTCGATGACTCAGAGGCCGAAGTGGAAGATTTTTGTTGGATGAGGACTTGGATGCCAAGCTGACTAGGCCGAGCTAGGGGTAGATTGGGTGCCAAGCTGGGTTGATTGCTGAGCTAGGTAGCTCTTCAAAAAAACCTACAAAGAATCAATGTTAGAGGACCTGGGGTCGCTAACCAGGCGAGGTCGCTCTGATGATTAAGTTAGTACTCTTGTGGTATATCACGAGCTAAAAAATTATAAAGTATGAGGGCTAGAATGTGCTTACTCGCCCCTCTCTTGTGTCATTGGGGTTGGTGCCTTTATATAGGCATTGTTTGGTTTGGGCCTCACGCACTACATCCGAGATTTCTAAGAGGTCATGCCTAACTGGTCCGAGATCCTCGAAGGTAAACGCCATGCACATTGACCATCCTCTGGAACATTTGGTACGTCGGTCAACTTCCAAGAAACCTGGGAGAATCGGGATATGCATATTGAATTTGTCGGCGAGCATACCTCGCAGGCCATCGCCTGGTCCCCAGTCAGGTCGGCAAGCCCTCGAGGGAGGTTGCTCCTCGCGTCGAGGTCACTTTTGCCAGTGACGAGGTGCTACAGGCTGACCCTGGACGAGGTGCTACAAGCCGACCTAAGTTGTGGTTGAGGTCGCTAGGTCGGCGTAAAGGTAGGTCGCCAGGTCGGTGGTGAAGGCAGGTTGCCAGGTCGGCGGTAAAGGCAAGTCGCCAGGTCGGGGTAAAGACGAGTTGCGTTCTGGGACTCCAAATCATCACATAGGTGGTGTCTAGGTGTCATCTAGCTATTCTGAGATGCCATGTGTCACAATGTCATCGGTGGTGAAGGCAGGTTGCTAGGTCGGCGGTAAAGGCAAGTCCAAGTGTTTGCAGCCTTACGTAGGACCTCATCGTCTTGATTATCGGGGCATGAGAGCGAATTCATCTTCTCGAGGAGAGGTGGAGCAGGTACCCCGAGGGCATCTACCTTATTAGGGATGCGGCCATCAATAGGTTCTACAGTCCAACTAAGTACCTCAAGAGCGAAGCTCATCATTCTGTCCTCAAGAAGGGGTTCTGTGTGGTTGTTTTATCAGGTCGCTCCACCTAGGTAGACTTCGACGCAGTGTTTCTCGAGTTGGTTCTCAAAAGAGTAGCCGGCAAGTTCGATGCGGAGCTAGGAACCAAGGTGGAGGTTGACAGTGAAGAGATCAACCAAGTTTGCATCCATCATGATGCTGAAAGCGAACTAGTCTTTCCTTTGTTTTTCTTTCTTGTGCTAAATTAATCTTCCTCCCATCATTTCTTTTTCTCTCTTTCTTTTTCCCCAAAAAATTTTCTAAGTGTGGATTCACCCGAGGTGCTGAACTGGTGGGTTGGGCATAGTTAGGAATAATCCGAGGTCGATGTAAGGCGAGGGGCACAAACACTATAGGAAATGTATCCGACATGTTTGCACACCGATGAACGCGAACTGCTTTTTTATTTCGCCCATGCCGAAGCGATTGGGGTTTAAGTTGCCCATGCTGAAGTGACTGGGTCTTGTGTGGTGCTGAGTTCTTCTGTCAGCTCGCCACCATAACCATTAGGCCTAGGGAGCAACTTGTAGTCCACTCTCCTTATTCTTGACTTTGCCCATGCTGAAGGGGCGACTGGGTCTCAGGTTGTGCCAAGGTCTTTATCAGCTCGGCACCTTAGCCCTTAGGCTTTGGGAGCGACTCCGTAGTCCACTCTCTTTAATATTATTTGGCCGATGTGCGGCCTGACCTTTCCGCCTACGCAGGTGGTCATTATGTAGTAACTTCTCATATGGTTGCTTCTACGTCATCTCGTGGGATTATCTTCTTGGGTGAATGCTTGCGAGACCACGACGTACATGTTCTGCCCCCCCCCCCCTTGTGAGGCATAATGTTGTTGTTGGTGTGAGTCGGCAGTTCAGGGCCACGACTGCACTACATCAGCCTCGTAATGACACTAGTCGTCCACTCCTACAAGAAACCACTGGGAGCTCAACCTGCGGGAGTAACTCTACTAATTGTAGGTCACCGACTCACTCAGGAGCCTTGAGGGGCTCAACCCGTAAGGGCGTTCACATAGTTAGTAGGCCGCTAACTCTTACGAGAGCCGCAAAGGGTTCAATCTGTAGGGGAAACCTTGCAAAGAGGACTGATGAGGCCTATCCGGGCTAAAATAAAGTCGGCAGAGCTACTTAGTCTGTTGGCCATCAACTTCCTACGGGAACCATGACCGGCTCAACCTGCGGGGACAGCCTTACTCCGAGGTGCTTGTCGCTAGACTGCTGGTTGTTAAGGTCGTTCTACTACTGCCTATTCTGCATTGACATGAATGCGTCGAGCTGCTCCAATGCTCACATCTGGAAATTCATGCTTCATCTCATGGAACTGCCGCGCTTCGATCTAGTGGGAACTACTGATGGCTCTACTGCGGGGAGAGGGGCGTTCACATGCGGTAGCGGGGTATTTATCTAGAGCACTGGGGATGTTGAGTTTCGGCCTGAATTTGTCTGATTGTCATAGGGGAGTTCTCCAAGTTCATCATAGATGTTTTTGCCCCCCAGCAATTGGTATTCGTTCTGAGTGATGATGCTGCTCAAAAGTGCCTTTGAGTTCATAAAAAATGGAAATTAGAAAGTGAGAACTTTAATTTCTAAAAGGTGAGATCTTAGCTTTCTGGAAGTGAAGGACTTAGCTTTTTGGAGGTGAGAACTTAGCTTCTTGTAGCGTTTCCCACAAATGGCGCCAATTGGTGAAGGGTTTTTTGGCAGCACCTGTTGTTCGGATTACTTCCAAGTGGCTGATGACTCAGAGGCCAAAGTGGAGGATTTTTGCTGGATGAGGACTTGGATGCCGAGCTGACTAGGCCGAGCTGGGGGTAGATTAGGTGCCGAGCTGGGTTGATTGCTGAGCTAGGTAGCTCTTTAGAGAAACCTGCAAGGAATTAATGTTAGAGGACCCGGGGTGGCTAAATCGGCGAGGTCGCTCCGATGATTAAGTTAGTACTCTCGTAGTAGAACGCAGGCTAAAAATACATAAAGTATGAGAGATAGAATGTGCTTACTCACCTCTCTCTTGTGTCATTGGGGTTGGTGCCTTTATATAGACATTGTTTGGTTTGGGCCTCACACACTACATCTGAGATTTCTGAGAGGTCGTGCTTAATTGGCCTGAGATCCTCGGAGGTAACCACCATGCACGTTGACCATCCTCCGGAACATTCAGTACGTGGGACAACTTCCGAGAAACCTGGGAGCATCGGGATATGCATGCCGAATTTGTCGGCGAACACATCTCGCAGGTCGTCGCCTGGTCTCCAGTCAGGTCGGAAAGCCCTCAAGGGAGGTCTCTCCTTGCGTCGAGGTCACTTTGGCCAGTGACAAGGTGCTACAGGCTGACCTTGGATGAGGTGCTACAAGCTGGCCTAAGTTGTGGTCGAGGTTGCTAGGTCGGCATAAAGGCAGGTCAGTAGGTCAGCGGTGAAGGAAGGTTGCTAGGTTGGCGGTAAAAGCCGGTTGCCAGGTCGGGGTAAAGACGAGTTGCGATATGGGACTCCAAATCATCACTTAGGTGGTGTCTAGGTGTCATCTAGTTATTTTGAGACGCCATGTGTCACAATGTCATTGGAGGGCCAGATCCACTCTCATCAGAGTATGACGTAGAATGTAAAATATTAACCATGGTTTGCTATTTAATTTGATGGTAAATTATTGTAACACAAACTTTCAAAGAGCCCAATCTGAAATTTATGTTCACACATGGAAGAGAATGAATCCCTATAAATTCTATTCTAGCAAATATATATTTTTTATTGAATGTGAATATCTGTACCCATACTTATACTCATCACAAATGAGGGTGTGAAACTTTCTTATTGACTAAAATACCTTTATTTTTCTAGTAGCTGGTTCAGAGTGTTCATTGCAACAATATCCAATTGCTCAGTTTCTTTTGTTCGCAGAATTGCAAATAGGGCAGCTCACCTAATTGCTAAGTTTGATCTTACTGTAACACATGGTCATACTTGGTCTTTTTGTCTTGTTACTGTTTATGATTTTATCCAAAATGATATTCTTCTAAACAAATAATGAATTTACCTTGTTAGGCCTTGGAAAAAAACCTTGTTTTTGAATTTTGTCCTTCTCTAGTTGTGAGGGTAGACAATGTAATTTAAACTAGTACTTTTCACCTTAATCGATTATCTCTCGTTAACTTTTATATTTAAGATATTAACTGTTATTATCTATCTGTTTGTATATTTAAGGTATTTTTTCACCAATAAATTATATTAATTAAATCTATATCCAATTC